CCAGGCTGGTCTCAAACTCCTGGGCTCAAGTGATCCTCCTGCCTTGGCCTCCCAAAGTTTTGGGATTACAGGCATGAGCCATTGTGGTTGACCCCAAGGAAGAAATTTTATAAATATTTTAACTAAAACACAACATTCATGTTGAAAAGTACACAATGTACAGATAGTTACTGTAAAGTGAACACATGCATGCCACCAACATACAGTTCAAGAAAGAATATGACCACAACTCAGAGGCTCCTCAAGCTCCTTTCCACAGGGAACCACCACCCTGGACTGTAGCACCACAGATTAGTTTTGCTCAAATAGAATCACACAGCTGGACTTTATGTCCAGCTTCTTTCGATTAAAACTATGTTTGTGGATTCACCCATGTTGCTAGCTACAGCTGTATTCACTCATTTTCCCTGCTATGCAACATTCTGTTGTACGATGTCTCATCCCCACCTCCACTCTACTGCTGACAGACATTCTGTGTTGTTTCCAGTTTGCGGTTACTATGAATAGCGCCATAAATCCATTTGTATACGTGATCTTTTGGTGCAAAGGTGTATGCATTTCTGCTGCATAGATATTTAGGAGTGAAACTTAAGAGATATGTGTGTTAGATGACAGCAAACAATATTCCAAAGGAGCTGTACCAATGTACACCCCCACCAGCAGGATACGAGAGTATTGGTTCTAAATCTTGATCAATGCTTAGCACTGTCAGTCTTTAAAATCTGAACCATTCTGGGTTGGCAGTGGTACTTGACTGTGGTCTTAATTTGTAATTTAGAAGATCTTTTTTTTTTTTTTCTTTTGACACAAAGTCTTGCTTTGTTGCCCAGGGTGGCCTGCAATGGTGCTATCTCGGCTCACTGCAACCTCCGCCTCGCAGGTTCAAGCAATTCTCCCACCTCCATCTCCCAAGTAGCTGGGATTACAGGCACCCACCATCATGCCCAGCTAATTTTTTTTCTATTTTTGTGGAGACGAGGTTTCACCATGTTGGCCAGGCTAGTCTTGAACTTCTGACCTAAGGTGATCCACCTGACTTGGCCTCCCAAAGTAGTGAGATTACAGGCGGCATGAGCCACTGTGCCCAGCCTTTTTTTTTTTTTTTTTTTTTTTTTAAAGAGAAGAGGTCTTACTATATTGCCCAGGTTGGTCTCAAACTCCTGGACTCAAACAATCCTCCTGCCTTGGCCTCCCGAAGTGCTGGGGTTACATGCATGAGCCACCATTCCCAGCCTAGAAGATTATTTTTTAAAACAAATATTGAAAACAAAAACATACTAGGAACCAACTCCTTAGTGTCCTTCATGCTGGCTTTGGGGGGAAACATATGGCCCTAGGCAATCAGAAAAATGAAAAAACAGAATACAAATCAAATTTGAAAACAGCAATGTCTCCTAACCAATCCCCAATCTAGACAGCCTGTCTGGAGACTCTAGACCAGTATTGTGTACTCTACAAGGGGCCACAAGATTGGCCCCCTTCGCAATGCACATCAAGTGTCTCCATCCAATCGCTTAGTAGTTAGGTGGTGGGCTCTGGACTCCAAATGCCTGGCCACCAATAAAAAGTGTGACCGTCCATGGTGACTGGCTCTATGAACAGTGAAGTCTAAGGATGAGCCAAGACTATTTTTCCCTCTGTATTATGAAATAAGTTCAACACAAAATCAGACAATAACATAATGAAGACCCTTGCATCCACTGTCCAGATCTAACTCTTATTAATATTTTGCCATATTTCTTCATTCTTTTAAAAAATAATTATAAATTTGTTAGAGTTCCCTATATATACTCCTAGATCAAATATATAATATATATAATACCCATTTAATGTATTTTAAAATCCACTAATAAAGCATTGTTTTGTACACAGCAAACATTTTATAAATAATTACTCTGTATGCACATAAATGATCACATGGTATATACCCTCATCATTATTTGTGATGTTTATCGCTTTGCTACATATAGCTTTAATTCATTCAATTGCCATAAAGTAATATTTCACTATATAAGTATACCTCAGTTCATTCACCAATTGCTTGGTAATGTACTTTTACTGTTATCATTTTTAAAATAAAAACAAAATTCTGTCCCATTCATTCTCTTAAGAAAAGAGAAGGAAGGAAGGAAGCAAGCCAGCCAGGCTGCCAGGCTGAAAGCTCTCAAGGGAAAGCACTATGCTTAGCAACAGACCCTACTCACACATGGATGCGGTGAGCGAATTCCAGGTGCACATTCTTATTGATACCTGAATAATCCATGTCCAGAGTAAAGCCATGTCAAGTAAAAAGGATGACTCTTTTCATTAAGGATATGGGACTTCAGGTATTTTCTTCAGGTATGAAGAATTTTTTTATACTTTTCTGTTTTCTTAATCAGTAAAAATTAATACAACTATTTTCACTTAAAACAGAAACTAATAAATTTAGGAAGCAGTATAATTAAGCTTTCTTACATAACTAAAAAATAATTCAATCAGTGGGGGGAAACCAGAATACAAAGAAATAAAAATACATATACCTATAAATTCTTTTATATAAAGAAATTTCTTGACTTGATAATGCCATACTCGTACTCACCGTGCTACAACTAAAAACTGGTCAATCTGTCGATCCGTAAGTGGGCTATTTGGATCCCAAACTTTAACTTCCAATTTTGACTGTTCCCTCTCATCTGATTCTCCTGTCCAAAAATAAATAAAATGGAGTCTTGTTACTGACAAGGCGCACTGTCTCATACTACTGATGACAACGGTCACCATAGCATTAGAAATGTTTACATGTAAGGTAAGTGCCCATAGTTTTGGCACATTCTTTCAGACGCAGATGTACAACACCTCATTAAAGTGAACACTGACGATAATAACACCAAACTAACCGAATGGTATCTTCATTTAGTCCTTAATGTCTGTTTCTGGAGTACCTGTATGCGAGAGGCAGTATGCGCCATGCTAAGAGACATAAAGATAAAAAAGCAACAGGCTGGGTGCGGTGGCTTGCACCTGTAATCTCGGCTCTTTGGGAGGCCGAGGCGGCCAGATCACTTGAGGCCAGAAGTTTGAAACAAGCCTGGTCAATATGGAGAAATCCTGTACCTACTAAAAATATAAAAACTAGCTGGGAGTGGTAGCAGGTGCCTGTAATCCCAGCTACTCAGGAGGTTGAGGCACAAGAATCGCTTGAACCCGGAAGGCAGAGGTTGCAGTGAGCTGAGATTGCGCCACTGTACTCCAGCCTGGGCGACAGAGTAAGACTCTGTCTCAGAAAAAAAAGGAAAAAAGAAAGAAAGAAAGCATCACTTCCACAAGATGCTTAAACTATGCATAAATACCTATGATATAAACCAAATAAATAGCATAAGAGTGACATATTAATAGTTAATAGCATAAGAATCTGAAGAATAGAGAAATCATTTCAAGCTAGGTAAGAAACAATATCATGAAGGAGATGGCATTTCACCTAAGAACTAAAGGGTATGAATCAACCAGCAGGGGAAGATTTTTTAAAAAAGAAATGAGAACATGAACAAAGTCATGGGGCATTAAAATGTCACAGAAAAGTAGCTCATAATGTCTGGAGTACTTTATGGAATGAGAGAAGATAGCTAAGAGAAGTGGGTTATGAACACATTACTGGAGATCCTACATAGATGTTTTTTGAAGAGATTTTATATTAGAAGCCCTTGATTTTTCTGGTAAGGGAGTGACAAGAGCAGAACCAAACTTCCACTTTCAAAGCATAATTTCCTCTGCAGAGATACCTGATAAAGACAGAGAGACATATCAGCCTCCTTTAACAGTTCCCTCACAAGTAGTGAGGGGTTTTGGTTATGAGACTGGTAACAGAGCACAAAGAGAGGAGATTTGGGAATGTCAGTGACAGACTGGATGTAGAGTGTAGATTTCAAGTTTTGTGAACTGTACTCATAGCGTTGGCATTAGCAGAAAGAAGGAGGCTGGGCATGGTGGCTCACACCTATAATCCCAGCACTTTGGGAAGCTGGGGAGGGAGGATTACTTGAGCCCAAAAGTTCAAGACCAACCTTAGCAACACAGTGAGACCCCATCTCTACAAAAAATAAATAAAATTAGCCATGTGTCGTGGCACACGCCTATAGTCCTAGCTACTTAAGAAGCTGAGGTGGAAAGGCTGCTTCAGCCCAGGAGGTCAAAGCTGTAGTGAGCCATAATCACACCACTGCATTCCAGCCTGGGTATCTCAAAACAAAACAAAACAAAACAAAACAAAACAGGAAAAGATACACAAACAGGAGGTTAGGGCCAAGAGAAGACTGACAATAATGCCGAATGCTTTGCTTTAGAATATCTCACAAACAGATAACTATTGAACAAGAGTCAATGTTAGGACAAATGATTGTAATGAAAAGTAGACTTGGGAGCCAACGGAATTTTTATTTATAGCTATGGATTCTTACTAGAATAAGAGCTCTTTAATGATAGCGACTGCTTTTGCCTTTGTTTTGCTTTTAATCACTGCATCTATAACATTAGGCCTTGCAGCAGCTAACATAATACTCTGAAGCCAAACATTCCCCAGTGACTGACAAACCCAGGCTATGGGCCACCTACTATAGGAGCACGCAGACATCAACGGAAAGGACAGGACAGAAGCAGGCGTTCCATCTGCAGCCTCTTAAGTCAGGCCACTGCTCTTAGGTTGAAGACCTGCCGATTTGTCTCTGGTCAAAAGGCAGGTAACCAGAGAGCCAACTGCCAACCCCAATATAAAATGACATAAACAGAGCAGAGCAGAGCTAGTACTAGGTCAAAAACATCTAAAGTTTGAAAGGACTTCATTCTTTGTTTTGTTTACAATTCTTAGCATGCTAAGACAAGACACTCAACATTAGGGTCATTTTCAAAGACCAGTTAAAAATCAAAAAGTTGCAAGCCACATGAAACTTGAGAATGGAGAATGACACAATTAACCTGCCCATGTCTTTTTAAAAATAATTTAAATAAGGATAGATAGTAGTGGTAAAACATTTGATATCTACATCTTAAATAACACACAAGAAATGATGTTGCTATTCAGTTTTAAGCCCCTTCTGTTGTATACTCCCGAACGTAAGACTAAAATTGATGTTTATTTTTCAAATTCAAGTCAGTCAAATTGATAAATTTTAATTCCACCCATACAGTCTGCAGCATACAGCAAAAGTAAGACTTAGAAGAATTCTAAATAAATTCACTGTAAACAATAAAACTCTCTTGAAAGCATTTATACTAACACCAAAAACAAGAACCATGGGCTGAGAAGAAAAATAGCAAGAACAACAAAAAATAAATACAGAAATTCTCTATATCAAACGATCATTTCAAACTAAGAGGAGATTCCCATTTTGAATAGACCAAATAATTACATTCATATCAGTTTGATCACTTCTTCACATGGAAAAAACTTTTTAAAAGCTCTTGAATTAACTTATTTAGAATTTTATAATTAAATTTTTTTCAGCTACGCTAGCAGCCTTTGGAATGGCCCTGGTTACAATGGAATGAGCTAAAAACTGAACTAAGATTAATTCCATGTTAATGTTCATTCCAGGCTTTATAATAATCTCCCCTTCCTCCTCCACGTATGATAATCTGGGCAATTCCAATCTGCTCACGTGTCATATCATCAAAAAACACAGACCATGACGATCTCCCCTAACCTCTAAATTCCTACAACTGTATTTCCCAACTAAATGTGTGATTGTATACAGCTTCCTATATTTGCTTCACTTAATTTTGAAGAAATGTAGACCCAGCAACTATTTTAAATGTTAGCCCTAACCTTCCAGTTATATTTTTAAATCTCTAGAAAATACTGACAAAGTACTTCTTAAGAATTTTGAGGCCGGGCGCGGTGGCTCATGCCTGTAATCCCAGCACTTTGGGAGGCCGAGATGGGCAGATCACGAGGTCAGGAGATCGAGACCATCCTGGCTAACACGGTGAAACCC